CGTTCAGCACTATTCAACAGTCGCCCAGTACCGGCGTTGCATCCACAAATCAAATCAAAATAATCTTTATCTCATAAAGAAAACAGAAAAAAAAGGAAACCCTGTGTCGCGGGTGCCATGGCCACACACATAGACAACCACATATTACACCCAAACTCACGAGAGAAATAAATGTAGGCCATACAAATATTTCTCCCGGCCCGGGAATCAATCTGGGACCTCTGCGTGGCAGTCTCGCGGCATGGTAACCGTTGGGCCACATTGGCTAAACTCTACCGCTCATTCGTAAACCAGATTCCCCTGAGAAGAATGAGCAAAAACTCTAGGGGTTGCTCTTTGTAAATAACATTTGTACACATTCAACATTTACAATATATTTTTTTTTGTTTTCAAACATCAGAGACCGAAGCTCCTCCATGAGCTAAACGGGTTACTACCACGGATTTTTGTCATCCAAGTACGCAGACGTAACCTTTGCAGGTTATCGTAAAGATAAATTGATTTTTGAAAAAAAAATTGTTTCTCTGCTCATTTCTCACTAATTTGATGTTACTTTTTTTAAAATGTTACTTTAATTTTATGTATTTGCTTAAACAAAATCTATTTATTTAAAAGCGAGACTTATAAAAATTGTTTATAAAATACGTCACTTAGTGGACGTCGTCACAAAGTTATATTGTGTAGAAGTTTGTGAAGTGTCACGGGGATCATCCTAGAAAATTTGTAGTATAGGGATACTACGTTACGTCGCCGCTGCACGGACGACGACGTATCGATGCTGTGCTCATGAGTAGTATCGAATAAAAAGTACCGTACTCATAAAAGTATCGAAGCAAAAGTATCGATACCTCAAGGTATATATTATATGTACCTTGAGGTATCGATACTTTTGTCCAGCAGATTTTTTTACATGTGACGGACACTGAGAAATAATTACGAAACGAAAACGGAAAATGTCAATTGAAATGTTTATAATTATTTTTTTTCACTCTCATTCTTATAAAGAGGCAAAGGGTTGCATACGGTTGCCAAACGGTTACCATGCCGGACTGCGACGCAGAGGTCCCAGGTTCGATTCCCGGGCCGAGAGAAATATTTGTATGGCCTGCACTTATTTCTCTCGTGAGTTTGGGTGTAATTTGTGATTGTCTATGTGTGTGTGTCCATGGCACCCGCGACACAAGGTTTTCCTAGTACGGGGCTACGTTGAGTTTGTGCGTTATTGTTATTATTATTATTTGTGATGAAAGTTTGCCATTAAAAAAAGTCACTAGGTGGCTTGCGCTATGATAAGGAGTGTCCTAAGTAGGAATTATTGGAAAGGTACTACGCAATATCTGTCAAAAAGTACCTAATACCAGAAAAGTATCGGTATCAAAAGGAAAAGTACTCAATATCAAAAAGTATCGATACTTCATCCGTATCCCTAGTTATCGCATAGAGTTATCACCGTTTAGACGGATCTATTTGAATAGTTTTGTTTTTGTACAAAACTAATATGTGATTAATTAATAAAAGTTATGGAACTCAAGTTGTTCTTTATTTAGCAACTTTAGTAGCAGTAGACCTCCTTGTGAAAGAGTTCGTCCAGGGTAGTACTGCCACCTTACCTGCTTCTGCCGCCAAGCAGTATAATGTCAGCATTTCTATGTTCCGGTTTTGAATGGCAAGAGTGCTGGTAAAATTACAGGCGCATGGGACTTGTCAACTTATGTCTCAGAGTGACGGGCACAGTGGCAGTGCCCCTCAGATCCTTGCGATTTAAACCTCTGAACGGCACTGTAACTGTTATGGACAGGCGTGTAGCTCACCATCAGGCGCACGACTAGTTTGTCCCGTCACTTGTATTATAAAAAAATTCATGCCGTCCAATAAAATAACATCAGTCACCATCTAAGCTCACAACGAAATGTGAAAATTAAAAAAACTTAAACAATATACAATGTCTTTTTTTTTGGGTATTTGGCTTCGGTCCCACTGAGGACAATTCTGCCAGTGTCCGGGTATATACAATGTCATTTTTAAATAAAATCTAATATTGTAGAATGTCATTTCATTGAGGTAATTATACAATACAATACAATATAAAAATTCTTTATTGTACACCAAAAAAGGAAACAAATACAATACAATTAAATTAAAAATACGCGGTGGTACAATGGGCGGTCTTATCGCTTTAAGCGATTTCTGCCAGACAACCTTTGGATGGAAGTAATTATATAATTCACATGAAAAAGACGGCGGTGTATAAGGAATTACTAATCAATAGATAAAAATTGATAGATAAATGCAAATAAACATATATTTATAAATAAGTAATAAAACCAATACATATATATGAATATCGTAAACTACTATATATTCCTATACCTATAAATATAAAATTTCTAAAACGCAATTTCAAAACATAAAAATACCTAGGCAGTCCAAGTCACAGTATATAACATTGTCTTAAATTCTGTAGCATTATTGCAATGCCTTATTTCAATCGGAAGTTTGTTATAGACCTTCAAAGCCATTACAACTGAGCTTTCTCTAAGTAGAGCAGTTTTGCATGGGATTTAAAGCTCTGAGTGTCACTTATTACCAGGCCCACAACTTGTTAGTCATGTTGTTGGTATCATAAAAAAAAATTCGAAAAACGATGATTGACTCAGCACAGAGCTTCACGGCTGTGCTACAGGTTTTAAAAAGCAAAATAGGACGCAGAAACGTCCATTTTAAAAATAAGATTCTTGTTTTATCCAATTATAACCCATTCTTTTCAATAGTGAAAAGACAAAGTAATAAAAACCACTTAACAATGTAACTACGTGAAATGTTTTCATAACATTCCGATTACAAGGCTTCCTCCATTGCAGTGTAGTTCTTCATCTCATACTAGATGTTTATTCTGGCGAATTTTTCCCAAAAACTAAATTTATAAACAATTTCAGTGCAAGTAAGTTTTTTACGTTTTTGAATTTACGAATAGTTATAACCTTTTTATAAAAGAAAAAACGATCTTTTTGATTGCTATTACATCTATTTGCCAAGTTTTACGGAAACCATCGAAATCGGTTCACTCCTTCCTTTGAAGTCAATTAAAAAAGAATAGTAACTAAAATGTGTTCTTAATTCAAATTTGTTGTGTTTTTTTTTATTAGTGATGTCTTGATTATTATCGAATGTTATTAATACGATACTGCTATAATCAGAACTAAAAAACTAGAGAGAACCAGCCCAAAATCTTATCGTTCCTGTTCTAACTGTACTTATTCTCTTATCGAGTTTTTAGGGTTTCGCGATTGGATTTTACTATTGTTTTTTTTTCAAACAAATTAATTGGTGACGGTTAACGGAGATGTTAAAATCATCATTGTAATTTTCACGGAAGAAAAAACATTATTTATCAGACCCACCAAAACTCACACAAAAAAATTATAATGATAAACACATTGACTTACAATTATATGGACGTCGGGTCCGCGCTAAAAAGTGTCCGCACTTGTAAGGCGCTAAAATCGTATACAGAGCGCCAAACTCCGCTTTAGTCTTCATTTGTTCTACTGACAGCGCGATACTGCGATGACATTACAATTTAAATTTCGAATAGGTTGACTTGGGACATTTTTTTCGTGGTTTTTGTATTAGACCCGTCGTCCATTTATTTGTAAGTCAATGGATAAACACTATGAAATTTTGATAATGATTGGCGTATTTGTAATTTAAAAAGATGTAACAAATTTAAACTTTACCCAGTCGCCATATAGTTGAAAGTTCAATACCTTTATTCCAAGTTACGACGTTTTGATTTTATGGACTCATCCGTAGAACAAAGACCTATGTGCTATTCTTCGCTGTGGATATCAGATTGACCAGTGTTCGATTTTATATTGCCCAACCGAAATACGATACAAAAATTCTGGAAACATCTATCGATTAGCCTTATTTTGAGTGACGAGATTGTGTATTTATACTATTTTCGCTGTATCATCACATCGGACTTTGTTCTTTGGATGAGTCGTTATATTCAAATTTTATTCAAATTTTATTCAACATGCTGCCATCTTGCGGCCTATAGCTGGACTATGACGAAATGCTAACATCTGAACGAATAGAAAGTAGAATAGAACAGTTGAACAGTGTCAATTTCCTGCCTGCAGACTTATTCCTTGAACAGTATAACTCGGGCGTTTTCAAAACGAGAGTTAATAGGCATTATACATGTTCATGCATGTTCCATCGTCAATTTCCATCAGGTGAGATGAATGTAAGATAATAATAATAATAACAGTTTTTTTTATTAAAGACAGCATAGGTCCACTTGTCAGTTTTACAGAAACCTCAAGTACTATGTTAGTTTACAGTATAATATTTATAAATGTAATAAAATAAAATACAATCAAAAATAAAATTATTAAAATTTTAAATTGAAATAATTTAACATTAAGGCTCAACTCACACTGGCGAAGCGTCGTGACGCGTCATGTTTTTCGCCTATAGCATACTCATCTCTATTTTCCCATTATTATGGTACAAATTTTTGTTATGCAAATATGGAAATGCGCGTTGGCGCACGACGACGCGCGCATTCGCGCGTCGACGCTTAGTTGAAGTCGAGCGGTTTCCCGCGTCGCTGCGCGGTAATTGGGCGCAGTGAGGCGTCAGACGCCGACCACACTGTGATCCGGGTGCACTAATGCGAGAGTCGTCGCGTGTCGCTGTAGTCGGAAAACAAGACGCGAGTGACGCGACGCTTCGACACTGCGCCAGTGTGAGTTGAGCCTTAAACATAAAAATTGAACTATAACAATAGTCACATAAAATTTTTGAAACTGAAATAAAATAAACAAAAATAAACTTTGGATAAATAAATAAAAATTTAAATAAATGAAAATAAAAATAAAAATTGCACCCCCAGCTTCATCTAATTTAATTTGAAATTTTGGGTGGGTTGGCGTACCAACACGCCAAATGCACAATTAAAAAAAAAAGAAATATTTTAACACTTTCAGCGCTGGCTATGAGCCCCCCGCGTTGCAACTTCGATGGAGTCTTCTATAGAGTGGTTTGCATCACCCTGCTCGCTACAGCACTAGCTTTAACTGTCATCCTGACTGATGTCTTTGTAGATCTAGATGCTTTACTGGCAGGGAAAGGGAAAGGTGAGAAAAATCTATTTTTTTAAGTTTATTGAATATCACGATGTTTTATTACCATTATATCGGCCATTCTCACATTCAATGTTCTCAGCCTAATTACCGTAGCCATTTCTGTGACGTCAGCCTGATTACCGTAACATTGAAATATGTTCATATTTAACTTTAAGCTTAATTGTCAATATGTCTAAATGGCATTAGCATAGATAAGGTAGTTTTCGTCTCATTAAGACATTAATATTTTAACTGTAATTAGATCTAATTGCCGTTTCCAAAAAATATTTCTTTCTTAAAAACTCGAAAACTTTATCTATTCTAATGTCATTTAGACATTGATAAAGTTGTTCATATTTATATATGTACCCAACATTAAGCGAGAACACCGAATGTGAGAATGGCCGATATTCAATTATTTTTTTGTGAAACTACTCCACTAGTTTTGTTACAATTGTGGCGGCTTTAGACGCCGCCTCTTATCGCGGGCTGGCTGTGGCGGTCTCTTTGGACGAGAGTCGCCAAGGAGAGTGTTACACTTGCCAATATGTTCGACAGTGTTTTAGTTATGTGAATTATCACTTATGTCAGCGATTTCAAATTGTTTGAATTGTTTTGTAAAATTATAAAACATTTATGAAGTTCACCGTTTTATTGACTGCCTCTGTGATCGAACGGTTACCATGCCGGACTGCCACGCAGAGGTCCCAGGTTCGATTCCCGGGCCGGGAGAAATAGTTGTATGGCCTACAATTATTTCTCTCGTGAGTTTGGGTGTAATTTGTGGTTGTCTATGTGTGTGTCCATGGCACCCGCGACACAGGGTTTCCCTAGTGCGGGGCTATGTTGAGTGTGTGCGTTATTAAAAAAAAGAAAAAAGTATAGTGTATCTCGTAGCTAATCTATCCAAGGAAGAATTAACAATATACACGCGAAAAGTTAATAAAGA